TCAACCAATGTATTTGTTTGAATCGTTCTCTTTCCAAACACTATAAATTTGCTTTTACTAATGTTTAGAGAGAGTTTATTACAATCAAACCATAATTTCAGCTTACCCAATTCAACCGAGACATCATGCAACAACTGGTTTAGATTCCCCCCAGTACAAAATATGTTAGTGTCATCAGCAAAAATAACTAAATTTAATATACTAGAAACTTTACATATGTCATTAATATATAATATGAATAATTTTGGTCCCAATATTGATCCCTGTGGCACTCCACAGATTATATCTAAACATGTTGACCTGTGCTCACCTATTTATACATACTGTTGTCTGTTTTCAGTGTAGCTTTTGACCCAACTAAGCCCCACCCCTCTGATACCATACCGTTCCATTTTTTGTTAAGAGTATGTCATGATCAATTGTGATCTAAAGCTTTCTTCAGATCCACAAAAACTCCTCATGCATAGTGCTTATTTTCTACTGAATTAGTTAGTTCCTCCAATACTTCCGTCAGTGCTATTGAAGTAGATCTGTTGGTTCTAAAGCCGTATTGGCTGTCTATAAGTAACTGATGCTTTTCAATAAAACTATCCAACTGTTCCACAAAGAGTTTCTCCAGGATTTCAAAAACTGTGATAACAATGAAACTGGCCTATAGTTTGTATATAGATGTTTGTTTCCTGCTTTATAAATAGGTATGACTTTAGCAGTCTTCATTTTTCTAGGAAAAGTACCCAATCTGAATGATAGATTGCAGATTTAAGTTAGAGGGTCAGCAATATTGCTTATAACTTTCTTTATCAAAGTCATATCAATCCCATTCCAGTCTAGAGATGTTTTGCTCTTGAGTCTGTTAACTATGTCAGTTATTTCATTTTTTGTAACTTCTCGCAAAAAGATTGTTGCTGGATTCCTGTCAATCAGAGATTTAGAATGTCCTCCCTTGTGTGGAGGGATTATTTCTTTTGCCAGATTGGGTCTGACTCTCACAAAGAAGTTATTAAAACCCTCCACCACATCATTCTTATTGGATATTTCCTTTTCATTTTCAATGAAATGATCTGTGTAACTTGAGTGGGCAGTGCTATTTCTAATAATCCTATTTATTATATTCCATGTGGCCTTAATATTATTTCTGTTATTTTCTAGTAAGGTATTATAATAATTTCTCTTACATTTCCTAATAATATCTGTTAGTTTATTTTTATATCTCTTATATTTAATTTCTTTATCTCTAGATCTATGCTTTAGAAACTCTCTATATAGAGTATTCTTTTTTTTTTACAGGCTTTTAACACTCCTTTTGTGACCCAGGGCTTATCCAGGCAGTTAGGTTTCAGTCTACATTGCTGCATTGGACAGTGTTTATCATATACTGATATGAAAGTATTTAAAAAAGAATCATAGGCCAAGTCAACGTCCTCCGCCTCATACACACTAGTCCAGTCCTGGGATATTACTTCACTTCTAAGTGCGTTTATAGTATCTTCTGTTCTTACTCTTTTATATATTGTTATGTTAATATCTTTCTTCCTGCGACAATCACATTTATAAATCACAAAAACCGGCAAATGGTCACTTATATCATTCATTAGTAATCCACTCACCATATAATTTCCCAAATTATTAGTAAATCTATTATCAATAAGGGTAGCAGAATGGGAAGTTATTCTACTAGGCTTAGTTATAACTGGATATAGACTCATGCTATACATAGCAGATATAAACTCATCGGTTGATGAGTTCTTATTAGGATTTAATAGATTTATATTGTAATCACCACAAATGAATGTGACCTTTTGCTCGGTTCTTGCAAACAAACCCTCCATTTTTTCTCTAAATGTATCAGCATTGGAGCTAGGAGCTCTATAAACACAGCTGACAATAATATTTTTCTGTCTTTCCATGTTGATTTCAACAGTGTTGCATTCACACGCATCAATAGCCTTAGTCATGTTCTCTACAATCTTATATTTTAAGGTCTATTATCTATACAGATAGCTGTTCCTCCTCCCACTTTATTTCTTCTGTTCATGAATTTAAAGTCATACCCATCCAGCTCAAAATCTACCCCCTTCTCCGCACTGAGCCAGGTTTCTGAAATTGCCACTACACTAAAAAGTGTTTTGAACTGACTTAAATAATCTTTAATGTTATGAAAGTTAGCGTAAAGACTTTTACTATTGAAGTGGATGATTGATATGCCATTGTCTAGTTTTGTATCTGTTTTAAATTGATCTTCACTATAATAACAGCAGTTATTGTTAACATTCTTAAAAAAGTTACTCTCAGGATCAATGTCTAAATCCTGATCCCGCATTTAGGAAATTGAGAGACCCGATTTCTCCCTTCCGCCCTTATGCCATCCCTCACATATCTACACCCACAGAATTTCATGCATTGCTAAAAAATAATAATAATAAAAAAAAAAGTCCCATGCAGAAATCCATGCGATCCTAGACTGTCCCAACAATAAACAAAAACAGGGAACCATGCAATATCCATCCAAGAATGTTTGCCAAAAGGCTAACATCCATATAAGAATATAAGAGATTCCTTCCCACAATCCAATTAAAGTCAAACGTAAAGTGGAGACTAATGCATGCAGCTCCAATACATGGAAAAAAGAGAGAGAAAAAGTAAAAAAAAAAAAAAAAACAGTTAAGAGAGATTTGCTCTCATCTATAAGTCATTAAGTTCCTTGCCAGATAATCCAACACAGAACCCTCTGCTACCAAACAACATACACAGTAATAGACATTATCTATACTGGTCCAGGTCATGAGTCCAAGTTCCCTTACCGTGATAACTTTGGCTTCTTCTGGAGTCGATCCGTTCAGCCAAATCAGAACTTTACAGTTCCGAGTCCACGTTGCTTTTATTTTGTTTTGCTATCACAGGTATCAGGCCTCTCGTGAAATCTTGGCATTCTTAGTTAAGTGCTCATTCATGTAAACATTGGTTCCTTTCAACTTCTTTCCCTGCATCAGTGACTCCATCTTCTGTGGGTTTCGCTTGTCGATCCTTCCGAGGCAAGGTGTGGCAAGCCGCGATGTTGTTTGCATCAAGATGAATGCTCTTGCTTTCCAAGAAACTGATAACTTGCCTTTCGAGTGATTGTTGATCCTCTGTTCGTGCGTCTTCTCCGTCACTTCTACCCACACTTGCAGGTTTTGCGTAGGTTCGAGGTTTAACGTCCAAACCACTGATGATAACATCCTCCATCCTTGAATATTGTTCCATATCTTTAATTCTTCGTTCAAGGTCCTTGATTTTTCTGTCCTTCTCCTTGACCAGGGTCTTCAGTTGTTTTACTTCATTCACCAGATCCAGTAGCATAGACTGTTGTTTAGCCACTCTGCTCAGTTCCTCCGACATAAAGTCGAGAGACTTAGGGATCTCCTCCATGCCGTCATCTCCCACCAGGTTTTGAGACACTTTTTTCGGAGGCATTGTCTCTTCTTTACCTGCTATGTTTTCGTTGTTTTGTAGGTTTTAAAACTTACTTTTGGCAACTTAGTTAGGCAGCACTCTGCAGGGCACCACCATCTTTACATGACGTCACGGTCAGATTGTCTCAGAAAGCTACAATGAAGCTGGAAGTGGAAGCTACGATGAAGCAGGTGGAGTCTTCCCCTGCCTTACAGGCCATTTGCAAATCTAAAGTTTATGCAGTGCCTTAGCAGTAGGATTCCACCACTATCATTTTAAAATAAAGTCTGATACAGATTCTTTTGTTATGAGCTGCTAACTGACAATACTTTGCACAATGTTTAATATCTTTACATATTTTTTTTTTCAAAGAGCTGTATTCTGGTGAGGGTGAACCCCCCTGAAGCAGCATTTTACATGAAGTAGACTCCTCACTGTTTAACTTGCTGGCACCTCTTAGCCTTCATAACTGCATCAATATTATCTGTGCAAAGTCATCCAGTGGGCCAGTTTTGGCCTGCAGGCCATGTGTTTAACACCCCTGTCCTACATGCATGACATATCAGATATCCCAACTACACAATAGTCTGTAAATGAGAAAATCACAAAAACCATAATATGTCCCCTATAAAAATAATATGCAAAAGTCATTTTTTAATTTGATTAAAATGTATGATGAATAAAACAACAATCCTTCCTAGCCTGAATAAATCCCCAAACTAATTATTGTAATAACTCCTGATGTCAGCCTAGAGGAAAGTGTGGGAATTTAGCTCGTTCTCATTCCCAACTGCTCAAATACTGCCACTTTGTCAGTGATCTGAGCATGAGATACCGAGGCACAGAGGCACAGAGGCACATTTGCAGCAGTGTGATATGCATCTGGCAGCATCAGTTGTTAATGCAGTGGGCAAAAACTGATCTCATCAAATACCGCTGCTTTTTCAGTGGACGGCTGCATAAGATACTGACGCACACACCTCTTGTGGTATTATGAAACATACTGCAACTGAAATAGTATGAAGAGTGGTGAAATGGCTTTAGGGTGAGATGGGAGGTTGATGGGTCAAACAAACTCCAGACTTTATTATTATTATTGTTATTATTAATAGTATTATTATTATTATTATTATTTGTTATTTTAATAACAAAGTTGTGTGCTAGTATGTGTAGCATGCTACAATAGTTATGTATGTCACATGACATATGCCACAACGTTACTAACAACCATACTTATTTTAAGCCAAACCATGATGTGTTTCTGAACCTAATCACATGCTTTTGTTGCCTAAACTTAAGGAAATAAACATAAAAACAAAGTGTTTTACCCACATTGTAATTTTATTTTGAAAAAGACTGTACGCATGTAATGAGCAGACACTGTACATTTCCTGTGAAAATGGAAGTGTATTTTAAAAAGTAACAATGGGTGTAACAAGCAGAAATTGACACTCCCAGAATGTCCAAAACCAGTGCAGGAAGGTATCTAACGCGTCATATTTATACATTGCGGTCCACTGACGAAGCAGCAGTATTTGATGAGTTGGGATGGGCACGGGTTGGTGTACCTGGTAAAGTTCGATGCGCTGCTCTGACACTCTCGCCCCGTGGTTTTGAAGACGGAAGATCCTGAGTTCAGCCTTCACCAGGTTGGAGGCGTTCTTCTCCATGGAGGACACATCAAATGTCAGCCGCCTGAAGTAAGGGTTGAAGTGTGTAGGAGAGATGACATCTAAAAGAAAGGAGACAGGATGACTGATTTAGGATATGCATGTGTGTGACAGACAGAGAGGACAGACTGGTGAGAGTCTGATTAAAGATTTTGTAGACAGGCACGTAAGTGTGATATGGAGAACTTCAGTTATGTGAATGAGAATATATTTTTGAAGGAAGAGACGAACAGTTTTACAAGATTAAAGCGTACCCTAACAATTTAGAATTACACTTACAAATTTGCAGACTTGCAGACAAATTACAAAAAGAATGGTCAACACATATGACATGTAAACATGTTGTCTTACCTTACCGGTGTGGTGTTCTGGCTCAAATATTGCTTAATTTAAAATAAAGTATTTCCACGTGAGTATATGAATATTGGCTTTATCGACCTGTAGCACAACAATAAACATTAGGTTTATGAATTAAGTGGATTTAAAACCGCTGGTTTTTGTATTGGAAAGCAGTGAGATTGTAAAATGTTCCTCAGTGCATGGACAGTGTGGTCACAAGTTGATCTGGCTACCTCCCAGTTTGAAGACATAGCTGGCTGTATGTTTAATGGATCTGTGAGTGAAGTGGTGTTGTCATAGTGGCACACCATGTTAATTGTGCACCTATAATTTATTTTCCCATAATGAAGCAGGTTCAAATCCCGTGAAAATAGTCTTTTTTATGTTTCACAGGGCTGAACGGTTCTTTAATATGGCACGTTTATTTAGGCAGGCACCAGAGACGAAACTGTGTAGGCCTATTTAGAAAATGTATTTGAGATAGGAGTTAGATTTACAGGAAAAGCAACTTGGCCTCTTCCTGTTTTCAACATTCCATCATAACAAGTGTGATTCAAACCGCGACTGAGTGTCGGTCCGTGACTGGGTTCCTCCAACAAGAGTCCAAAGACGGATCAGGTCGGCTATGTTTTGATATTGTTATGAAAAACTGAATAAAGAGGCCTTCGCGAGGACAGCTACGTGTTCTCTTCCTGGTTGAAAACAGCTGTTGTCACTACGACAACCACAGACGCATTCGGCTGAAGGTCGCCAGTTAACAGGGTCGCGAGTAAATCCGAAACACCGGTAAGGTAAGACAACACGTTTACATGTCGTTTTCTATATGTTCTCTGACATTTATCCTAACGATATGAGGCGGTCTTTGTGGAGAAAAAGCTTGTTAAGTGGACTAACTTTGCACTTGAAAGGATGCCCGTTCAATTACGTTTTAACAGGTCTGACGCTACATCTGTATCTAGGCTAACGGCTAACATGCTAACTATTATTTCTATGTCACTAGTGACTTGAAACAAATTTAGGATGATAGGAGACGGGTTGAAATAAACTGAAATTTCCCTTTAATGGCCACATTTTTTTTGTTTAACTCCACACCTCTAGTTTGTAACCAAGGCTTTGTAAGTGGAGAAAGTGTAAAGTCTCCAAGCTATTACATCACTGTGACATCATCAGGGTTATTTTGACTGTGATAATGGTCCCCCTCAGCCGAACCTCTCCGGCTAAAGAAATGAAACCAACACAGCAGTGCCCAAAACTGCAGTTTTTTGAACAGCTTCTTGAGGCTGACCCCAGAAGCTCGTCAATCCCCACAGACCCCCATGTTAAAATGTCCAACTTCACAGCAGAAATAAACATGTTACAGCCTGGTTTCTATAGATAATTTCCCCCTTCATATCAACAGTTATCTTAGTGGTAACATGTTATTAAGGGCAGGTCACTTTGAGTGACAGGCTGTCTGCCAATAGTATTCTCTTCTACTCAGTCAGATCCACCCCTCGCTCCTCCACAGCCCCAGCCTCTCGTCCAAATATAGTCACTTCTGGCTCCAAAATGATGGCGTTGGCCGAAATGCTAAACTCAAGGCTTCAAAATGGGAGTCCACAAACCAGCAGGTGATGTCCCGGTAGGTATGTCCATTGTTTATACAGTCTATGATTAGTATCCGTATGACCAGTAATTTTGACGTGTAAAACGATGTAGATCATTTTGAATGTGTGATATTCTGAAGGGCATCACTTCAAAGCCAGGTGGGTTGAACCCAGACACTCTGATATCCAAATAACACAGCCATGAATCAGTAGCAGCATCACAATCCTCCTCATATACTACTGTCAGTAATGTGTGTGGAAATGTTTGACTTACGCTAACACAAGACCGGCGTGACACATGCAGCATTGACAGCCACATGTGTTGCCATTTGTCTCACAGATGCTGTGGAACACACAGACATATACAGTGTAGTTCTGTTTTCAGAATGTGTGCGGTGAAGGAGTGTTTGACAGTGTCCCACAGCACAATGAATTAGGAGGCCCCGAGGTCTTAAATTGATGGCTGTAATGTAAGGCAGAAGCCCAGGATTAGTAAGACACTGTGGTTTGTCTAGACACAGTATACAACAGCAACCAGCCAGGCACATGGACTGGGACTAGCTGACAGCAGCCAACAGAGAGAGAGAAAAGAGTTTTTTCACACTTTTTTACAGTATAGTTAAATATGGACATTTTTGTCAATTGCTGTAGGTAATACTCTCCCTGATTAGCAACTCTAATGATGATAAATGTGTATCAAGTGACAGTGACAATAACAAAGAGAGACAGATTTTCCTTTACTGTAAAACAGCTTCTGTAAAACAATTAAAAGAAAATGCATACTTTGTTTTAGTGCTGTGCATTTACAACAACTTCCAAACAAGAATCCAACACGCTTAAATGTCTTTTCCTTAGCAAGGACCACACCACAACGATATGCAGTTTAAAGATTTAATGAAGATGTAATTGTCAGAGAAATGGTTATGAATGGGGGAGTGCAGATTTGCAGATGAATGAATGGGATGGAAATGACGTCATCAGAGGGTCGGACTGGGTGAGGTGTAGATGTGGGTGGAGAGACTCAGTATGGGGGTTCCGTCTCGTGTCCTGGTGAGCCCGTGCTGATAGGAAGCCCCCAAAAGAGTCTGGTTAAGTGAGACTTAGTCTGTCGTGTGCTAGACGGAGATCATTGAGGTTATTGTGGATGTAGGTTTGATATGCTTGTGAAGACTAGCGGCCGAGGACCTGGATGACTTGGTCTGAAATTCCTGATCTGGCGGCTGAGGAGGCAGCGCCGATACGGAACGAATGGCAAGAGTAATGATCTGATGAAATTCCGGAGAGACAGAGGATATTATGGAAGTGTTTCTGGAACCAGAAACGGGTGGTCATTCTCCCTGTTTCGGTGAGGAAGAAGGGATCTTGTGGTGAAGCTTGGGCGGAATACCGGGTGTGGATGCATCTGGTCAGTGGCTCGTGCAGGCTGAGAAAGGAGTTGGGGCGAAAGATGTAGATGGGAAAAGATACTCCTAACTGATCGGTTTTACTCCTACGGAGTGTGAATATGAGCGAGTCGGAAGTGTGAGTGGTGATGTCGGATAGACTAGGATGACGGGAAGGATCGTAGACAGATGAGGTTGGAGCAAATTCAGAGCACCTCAGAAATCCGAAGAAAGCGAGTAGAAACATTGATTCCAGTGTTAAGTCGACTGTGGGAGAAATGTAACCAGAGAGCAGAGAGCGTATGCAGCGGCAGAGCAGATCGGAGGTGAGAGGAAGGCGTCTGGCTGTCAGCGCTGGTTCGTGCTTTCATAAGCCTTTGATTAGCATGGTGACGTGAGAGTGCAAGATTGACTGACAAGGAAGGCCGGTGGATAATTTATGGAATAAATTGATACCAGCCAGATATGTTTATATGCTGGAGGCCCGGATCTTTTTTGCAGTATGACAGTGTGTGATGAAGTTGCACATGGACATGGCGTCCAGAGAGGGAAATGGTAGATGGCGGCTGAATAGAGCTGGAACAGCCTGGACTTATTGTCGCTGCGGTGGAAGGGGATGTTTTTTGCCCTCAGGAACCGCTGGAGCCAGGCGATGGTCCAATCCCTGATGTTGGGCTCCTGTTGTGGACGTGGAGGTGGTGGAGATGGCCGAGTGGAGTGCGACGGAGTGCCGCGGGAGCAGCGAGGTCAACTAGTCGCTGCACCGCTGCAGGAAGGAGGAGGAGGAGACTGCCGCTGGCTCCCACGGTTGTGGACGTGGCGTCAATTTCCCAGCCGCGAGGACGGAGGAGAGGAGGCCTGGGACCCACTAGGAGTCGGGGCAATCTCGTTGATGGAGCCCAACGGAGAACCACGGCGAGAGAGAGGGATGTGGACCACAGAGTGCAGCCGGCTCCCCTGGGAGTGTCGGCTACCGGCAGACTGCTGAGACGGAGTCAGAGGATCACTCAAACAGGGAGTCGTACAAGTCGTCGGAGTCGGACCCGGACGGGTTAACTTGCAGCACATGATCCATCTTGGTGAGTACATGAAAACACGCTCGCTGAGATACGTAGGGTCGCTAATGTTCGAGAGATCTGACAGGCCTGTGGTAACGCTGTGCTGGTATATATACGTTAGTCAGGTGATTAGAGGAGTGGTTGAGGCGTGGTCCTGCTCCTGAAGTTAAAGTTAAACAATTAACTCCATTTAAAGAGAAACTAAACCCTCAAACCACTTTTTTCAGCTTAAAACTAATGTACATGGGTATTTACACTTAACAATATTTTTTATGCACTCAGTAGATATAGCTGACTGCAGAAATGTCCACTAGAGCTGTTGGCTTTGAACTGAATGTTCATTTCACAACCATAAGACATCTCCAATGTTGTTACCCTGAATTTGGCAGTACATATACAGACCTCACCACCCACAAGTCAGTTAGGATGACAAACTGCTGTCAGGTCAAGACCCTGGTAAGGAGGATGGGCATGCAGATGAGCTTTTCTGAAACAGTTTACAACATTTTGTGCACAAATTCTTCAGTTGTGCAAACCAACTGTTGCATCAGCTGTTCCGGTGGCTGGTCTCGAAAGATCTTGCAGGTGAAGACGCTGGATATGAAGGTCCTGAGCTGGTGTGGTTATATATGGTCTGGAATTCATTACCACTCCAACTCAGAAACATTGATTCATTCCCTCATTTCAAATCACAATT